GCGGATACTAGTTTTATGGGAATGTGCGAGAAGAACGCAAGGGAACTGGAAAAAGAGTTCATCCGTGTCCTGCTGTTGGAGTGACCTACGACAGTAAATCTTACATCTTCATATCCTATCGAGTTTAACGGCAAGGTTTCTTCTCGAGCAGGGTACAGCATCACCGAAAAAATAGGAGGGGGAGGTCCCACTTGGTCCCTAGGAGGATCGCATGCACGTTTGAAAAAATTCCCAGCCCCGAGAGGGTTTTCCGGTTCATGTCTTTTCTCGGTTTCTATCATTTCTTGTTCGCTACGTATTGCCGGCGTCACAGAGCTTCTGCACAACTGCTATTTCTGAGAGCCGAAATTAGAAGTTGGGTTACCTCCCCCTCGGCCCTCCGCTCGACGGAGGTTTTTAGGAAAACCGGAAGAATACTTGGAAAACTGCGAAAAAGGTAAGAAGTTGAGAAAACTCAGGATGATAGAACGCAGGATAGAGAAGGGGTCGTACAAAATGAGGAAATGTTGGGTTTTGGGGAGGGGAGGGCTTGCAGGGATCGTATCCTTTAGGGCTTCTGTTGCTGAAATCTCAGCCACAACAGGGGCAGGCACACAGCAACCAAATGGGTGACTAGCTTTCTAGCTTCCACACAGAGCTTCTCGTTAAAAATTAGACATATGGCACTCCCTGCGCAAGTTTTCCTGCATCAAACAAGTTATTTCATGGCATTGTATTCAGAATCGCGACATTTTCAAACCAAATAATTTTTTAAATCAACTACATGCTTGGTTCAGATAGCTTTTTTTGGGGCGAACTTCTAGAGACGTTGGCGATTGATACATTCAAGGGCCAAGCATTCCAAGGTCAATGGCCCGAATACTAACCAAAGCAAGGGTAACATCATAGGTTACGAGTATTAGCGATATTGTACTCACTGTCGAAATAGCTTGTATCTTCTTCATTCTCCAGCTGCGGTACAAACTCAGCTTTTTGGCGAAGAAGCGTGTTGAAGTCTAGTGATGCGAAGAACGGATGCGCCATTAGCTGAGGGGCGCCGATAATGGCTCCTAAAAATAGTAGGTCAAGCTATTTTCCGAGTACTTCCACTTACGAGCATCGATACTACATCCAGGTTACCTCAGATACCTAAACACTCAGTATCACCCTCGGAAAATTTTCAAAAGTTATCCTCACCAAGTCGTGCCATCGGATTCTTCTCGAAGCAATACGCCTTGCATCAGATTTCTGCTTTCACAGCACTCGGTAACGCTTTCGTCGCCATCAGGATAACTCACTTCTTCCATTTTTTTTTTTGCAAATGAATTGGATAATCATTTGACATGGAGTGAACGACTGAGCAGATACCGCGTACAAAAAAAAGAAATCCTACTGTACCTGATATCACTTTGGAGAACAGGTCCTCTGGCGAATCTCCGAAAAATGGTACACAACCGACAAGAAACTCGTACAAAATCACACCCAGTGCCCACCAATCCACCGGTTTACCGTAACCCTGACGCAGAATCACTTCAGGTGCGATGTACCTGAAAACAGAAGGTATTCTAAAAAGAAAATACCCCTCATCTAAATACGATTTACGCTAATGGTATGGGCGGCAGTATCCAACCATTGCGCCTTCCTCATAGGGACCTCCTCCCTTTGTAGCGCGAGAGGGGCACCCCACAACAAAAGCACACTAATTTGAGGGGACAATGGTTGGGTGTCTCCGCCTACACAATTAGCGTGCGCCATCAAAGAAGCTTGTGTTGATTTGCAGAGAAATGAGCAGAAATGCATAAAATAGAAACAATAACAGGATTAAAACTTACTCAGGAGTACCACAAAGTTGCTTGTCTTTAAACTGCTGAGTATCGATCGCGTTTTCAAAACCTTCAGCTACCAAGGTTGTTCGATTCATGAGACCAATTTTCGACAACCCGAAATCTGTCAGCTTGATGTGACCCATCGCAGTGATGAGTAGGCTGAAAAGAAAAACCTTAGAATATTCAATCCAAATGAAAAAGCAAGTTTTTATGATTGATTTCTTGAAGCTACGACCTTCGTTTCCCCGCTATTTCCTCGTTTTTTAGATGTTGATCTCTTCTTTCCGCCGGAAGATGTGAGGAAATGATTGCCAGAATGGGGACTTCCGCCTGGACTTCCGACTAAGCTTGGGGGAGGAGGAAGTTTCCGGAGTGAACTAAAGACCTCACCCACTCCGGAGATCAGTTTCCTAGACTTCGGCAAAATGCTTTTCGTGATCGTTTACGGAGACAGAAAGAAATCATAGTATTAAACAAGCGCAAACGGTTTATAAGACAACCAATCGGACAAGCTTAGGAGGTAAGTTAGAAAAGCCCAGCGGTTAATAGAAAAGGCAAGTAATCTAGAAAACAACTTACTTATCCGGTTTCAGGTCTCTGTGAACGATACCATACGAGTGCAGATACTCTATAGCTAGCACGGTCTCTGCCACATACAGCCTGAAATATTATAGCGATTGGCTCAGACATCAAATTTCCAAGGGTTTCACTACGGGCTACTGGATACAGGCTTCAAGTCCATGTGGAGCACACTCCTATTCGCTGTGGA